CCATGTGATTGGCTGCTTAGAAATTAAGTGTTAACGAGCAGTTGGACAGGTGTACCTAATAAAGTGGCCGGTGAGTGTATATACAAATAAACAAAACAAAAAACTCAAACAAAACTTTCTACAATGCTTCTCCATACCTTCTGAAAATAATTTCTTTGTAAATTTTTTTGAAAAGGAATATGTTTGGGCAGCTTTAGGTTCTCATTTAGTTTGTTCCACAATTTATTTGATAAACATAATCTTTTCTTTGTTGTTCTACATCTATTAGTCTAAAAATCTCCCCTTCCCCATAAATCGTACCCTTCCTCCCTTTCAGAGAACATCTTTTGTATATTCCCAGGCAATCTTTAAATAAAGATTAAAAATAAAACGAAATGTATTTCTTATTACTAAAATAGATCTAAATGTGGGTTTTTTGGAGAAAAAACCACAACTGGAAATATTACCTCATCAGATAGAAGTTGATATGTACAGCAGGTTAAATAAGTATTGAACATTTTACTCAATCAGTATATCTCTAGAGGTTTTATGTCTGTAGCCTTCAGACATAAAACCTTCAGATACCGTCAGACCTTGATGGATCAAACAAACCCTGATCCAACAGGATCAGATCTGGGGTCAGTTCAGGCAGTAAATGCTCAGATTCAATCTAACCCTGATGTTTGTTTTTCTGTGTGGCCTCTGAAGGAGTAATAACAAGTGGGAACCAGTATCCGGCTGCCAGCAGGTCCAGAAACAGCTGACCTGCAACCTGACTGAGGCATTCCGAGAATACCTAGAGATCTTTAAAATCCAGGTGGAAGCTCAGCTGAAGGGCCAGAGATCCCAGCCTGTCGTCCTTAAAGATTACAAACCTCCGGGTGAGTCTTCTTCCGTCCTCTTTGGACCAGAAACCTGGTTTTCTTCAAGTGCTTCTCGGTTTTTAATTTCTAAACTCAACTCTAGTGACGGACCTTCTGGATCTGCTGGTTTTCCAGCTCCTTTGTTTTTAAACTGTAACAGGACAGAGCGCCGCCATGTTTGGCACAAAGTGAATTTCAAACACCACATCCACCGAATTGTTTTTCTACGTGTTGAACCAGTAAAGGCTGGAATATAGAAACAATCCCAGTATGAAAGGTCTGGGAAGTAAGGGGGAGGATTACTGGGACCACTGGGAAAAAAAATAGTTTACGGATTTTTAAATATTATTTTAGTTTAATATGAGAA